GGAAGGTATATAAGGACTGCCCCCACACATCGGAGCTCAGAATCGGAGCTGATAGCCCTGAAGATGCAGACTGCAATGTTTGCGAAACGTCGGCGCAATGCTGAAACTCAACGCGGCATCCATCCGGAAGCCAACCAAGTCATTAATAATGGCCGCGAAAGCCTCAAAACTAAGGGGAGAACCTTTAGATATTTCTAAAATATTACCGTCATTCTCAATCGCAATGAGTTTGAAGGCAAGCAACAACATCTTTTCCTTCTCTCAAACTTACTTTGTCTCTTCAGGAATATTATCTAATTTCCAAAAAATATAATTTTTTCATTCAGTATCATTCTCCTTTTGTCCGAAGAGTCCCGATTTCTTGTCTGAAACCTACCATAAATTGATCGAATATGCATGCGATGGTCTCCACTCAAGAAATTATATTATGTCGATTTTTCTCTCAGTGTATGAAGGCAAATTTTGAGATATTTACGTTTTATATTGGACACTTCTGATTGGCTCCTGAGATTCATCAAGCTTGTCCTCAATTCCCAAATATTTCTTACTGTTACCCCGTAATTTTCGGTAGTAGTGATGACGCAAACTATTCATCGAACGATATGGCTTGACGAAAATCTGAAATATGAATGAGAGTAGGAATCGATTTTTTCAATTTCTTCATCTCAAGTTTCGGGGCCCGGTTCCATTATCTGCCAAACGTTATCTAGATTGCTTTTTGTGTTCCAATTTTATCTTGAAATTTCAACTTGTAATGTATGGGTAAATTCTAATGATACTTTTAGAAATGCTCCTTTACGTTTTGAGCGGACGTGACGTCACGGGATATTTGTTCCATCCCTTCCATTGTAGACCACTGAAGAGAATACATGTCGATTAATTGAGATTAGAATAAATCCACTCGAATCGTTATTAATTATTGTCCCAGTGTTCATTTATTCATTAATCCCTCAACCCCCGGTCATCACAAACTCGATGCCCTGTCACTGAGAGATCCCCGAAAACTCGTAATTTGGATTGAAATAAGAACTAAAAAAATCTGAACAGTTTGAAAGAGCGTTTTTAATTAATATTGAGGAGTGAGTTCAATAGAGGAGAGATATAAATAATGTATAATTACCGTGGCAAATGGCGGCATGTCAGTTGCTACCATGGGGGTGTAGGAATTGAGGTAGTTGGGTGTAACAATTCACTAACAAATGTAATTAGTATTTAAATTGCAGTTTAATCAAGACGTTTAGGATATAAAAGAGAAAGAATAATCAAAGTGATCTGATCGGAGGTCAGTGTTAGACTCTACTGACTATAATAAATCGCGTAAGACGGGAATTTGGATACGCGTGACAATAGGTGCGAGCGAGAGGTATTTTATACTGGGAGCGTGACAGAGCGCGATGATGTCACCGATGTCCAGTTGTGTCTCTCAGCGTGTCGTATCCGTGCGTGTGTTACGCGTTGGTGTGTGTGTAGCGCGACGCTACAGGGGGGGGGG